GGGTCGGCTCGGGGGAAAGATAGCTCGTACAGATTCAAGATGAGGGTGCGTTATGCTCGGGGGAAGGACGCTAGTCAAGGCAAAGACGTGGTGCTTATCCTTCCGTCAGACTGTCGAGGCTGAACCTCCTGATGAGTCGGTGCGACCCCGACGAAACAGTCGGTATGCCGAAGTCTCTCTGCCCAGCTGCCAGAAAGGTAGCACGTATGCATTCATGATGATTTGAAATGGGTTGTGTTGGGTGGAAGGCGGTGACAAAGTTTATCCTTATGTTGTTTGTCTCTATGAACTCGTTAATGTTTGGGAGGCCGAGTAGACGGTTTGTAATGCCAGCTCGATAACATGGAGGAGATCGAGCGAAGAGCATATCTCGAAGCTAGAAGGGGCTAGGTCAGGCCAACAGAGAGAAACACCATAGCCGAAGGCATCAAGCGTTGCGAAGGAGGTTGCAGCGCTTGCGAGCAAAAGCCTGTCAGCTCGTCTACCGTTCTTTGTTGCTTGGACCTAATTAGTCAGAGACTACTCAAACCTCGACGTTAGAAAAGGCCAGCAAGGGAGGAGGAGGAGGAGGAGGAGGAGGAGGAGGAGGAGGAGGGAGGGAGGAGGAGGGGGAGGGAGGAAGCCGAAGAAGAAGAAGGGAGAAAGAAGACGGGAACGGACAAGGAGGAGGAGGGGGAGGAGACGGAAAGAAGTAGAGGAGGGGGAGGAGGAGGATGAGTGGGAGGAGGAGTAGGAGGCAGTGAGCCAAGTCAGTCAAGGCGTGTGATTGTTTTCCGTAAGAATAAAAGCAGAACAGCCAAGTCAGCGACGACAACGACGAAGAAGAGGAGGGGGAAGAAACAGCAGGAGGAGGAAGAGGAGGAGGAGGAGGAGGAGGAGGAGGAGGAGGAGGAGGAGGAGGCTGTTCGCCAAGGCGTGGTTGTTTACTGGAGGGAAAAGAAGAAGACGCGACCGACAAAGAAGAGGAGGGAAAAGGAGAGGCGGAGGAGGAGGAGGAGGAGGAGGAGGAGCGGACGATCGAGTGAGAAACGGCTATCATCTTTCCAGTGACTGTCGACTTCCTCGAACACAACGCACCCCCTATCTTTCCGTTTTGATACAGTCATGATGAGGGTGCGTTGAGCTCGCCGGTCGGGGGAAGACGATAGCCAGTAGAAGACTGTCGCGTTGAAGTTCGATGTGCTGATCAGTGATCTATCCCTTGTGCAGTTGTGCAGTCCGATACAATATCATTCTGAGGGTGAGCTGTATTCGGGGGAAGACGGTTGTCGGTCGGTTGTCGTCGTTCGGTTGCAGTCTGTAGCCATTGGCAAGGGCTCTGTTTTTTTTTGTTTTTTTTTTCATCAACCAATTTGTCAGGAAGATGATGACAGCGCCGCGTGGCGTTCTCCAGCTTTATTCATGTTGATTGTTTCGTCTCAAGATTCTGTTGCTGCTGGCTTCTTTCTTTCTTTCTTTCTTTCTTTCACGATCTTCGATCTTCATAGCGATTGGGTTTTAGCACCATTATCACTCTTTTTTTTTTTTTTTTTTTTTTTTTTTTTTTTTTTTTTTCCCTCTTTCTTCTTTCCCCGCCCCCCAATCCAACCACACACCCCTTCCATTCTAGGGAGTCGCAGTGTGGTTCACCATCGCCTAAGCAAACCGAGTTATTGACATAACTACTCTCAGGGTATACTCACACTCAACGACTGTTCTGGATCATGAATAATGTGACCGCAGCGGATTTCAGGCGGACATGGATGCACCTGGCTGCAATTACGTCCAGAGATCAGTGGAAAAAAAGTCTTACCGTAGTGTGAGTACACTGTGAGACTGACCATTGTTATCACGCCGATATGAGTGGTTCGGATTTCCCCTCGGTTTCTTCCTCGGGCTCAGAGAAGGGGAGTTCACCGTTTTCAGTTAATCTCAGGACAGTCACGCTACAAGAGGCCACGACCGTTACCTCAGCATGTGTGGGTCATCTAACAAGCTCGCAGCAACTGCAACTGTTATGCATCCGAGGAGACGTCACGATAATGGTGTGGGAGGAAGCGGAAGAGCAAGAGGAGGAAGAGGAGGAGGAGGAGGAGGAGGAGGAGGAGGAGGGAGAGGAAGGATTGAAGGCGAACACTGGGTCTGCTGCTGGTCATAAACCTCAGAGCACGCGAGACAAATCAAGCGGAGCAGAGGACGAGGGAGAGAGAGTCCGTCGATCTCCAGCCAGTGGATTCTCCAGACCAATGGCTAGAGATCGCTGGAGGGAGAATGGGCGGTTACTTAAGTGGGTAAGGGATATAGACTTCCACGAGGGTCGGTCTTTTGCCGAAAAGCCCCCGTCTTTAAGGGTCCTCTACTGCGATCTGCTGCCAGTTGATTGTCTTCACCAGACCGACAGCGCGCCAGCAGCAGCCTTAGACCTTCTGCTCTTGCTTTCTTCTAATCGGACGGTCTCTGTCCACCGGTGGCAACCATCAATCGCTGAGCTTGTGTGTCTTTGGTCGCTAGTTCTTCAACCCCCTCCATCTACTGCACCCTCTCCACGAGCAAGCGATCCCCTCCCTCCTTCCCCTCCTTCCTCCCTAATGGTGTCTGCTGCCGCGAGTTCCTCCTCATCACAGCCTCATCAAGGCGGCTGTCCCGGTGTGCAAGGTGGTAATAGGAATCGGACAGGAGGAGGAGGAGGAGGAGGACAGGTGGCAAGTGGTCGTGAACACGTGGCGGCGTGCAGAGTCGCCACGTGTCTTATCTCCTGTGGCCAAGTCCGCCGTGGCGTGGGGCAGCCGCAGAGAGAAGTGCAACCTCAGGACGCCAAAGTGGCACGGGAAGATCGGCTGCTGAATCCCGAGGAGGCTCCACTGCTGCAAGAAAACGACAAACAAGGACCCGGTCATCGCCGATCCCGGTGGGGCTATCCCGACCAGGTGACTGCAGAAAGGAGGTTGCTGATGGCATTATCCTTTGAAGATGAGGGTGGGTGCCACGTGTTATCTGTCAATTTGAGGAGAGAGGAAGGAGGTGGTGCGCTGACCAAGGAACAACGTGGTAAGGAGGGTGAATGTGATGAGCAAGGTGGAGGAGCGACGAAGGAGGAAGTACACCATTGTAGCGTAGTCTATCTCGAGACCGCGCAGTTGACCCAGAGCGGTGTTGGCGACCCAAGAAAACATCTTGATGGAGGTCTATTCAGGGAAATGGATACATCTATAATCGATCTCGTGATTGTGGGAGCGAGGACGGTGGGAGGAAAACGCGGAGCGGAGGTGTGGGGCGGAGGCACAGCTGCAGGAGGAACCAGGGAAATCAGGGATGGAGAAAGGGTTGTTGGTGAACAAATAGAAGTAGCGTTACAAAGAGGAGGACCTAGGGGAGCTAAATTAGAGGTGCGACAACAAGGAGGAGGAGGAGGAGGAGGAGGAGGAGGTCAAGCAAAAGTAGGAAGAGGAGGAGGAGATAGAGCAGAAGTGGGTGGAGGAGGGTGGAGGGGAGGACGAGGAGTAGAAACAGGAGGAGGAGGAGGAGGAGGAGGAGGAGGAGAGTACGTAAGGAGCGGGCAAGTCGCTGAAGGAAGGAAAAAAGATGAGGGGACCGGAGGAAGGGTAGAAGGAGGAGAAGGAGGAGGAGAAGGAGGAGGGAGGAAGATAGACATTAAGGGAAGGGAGGTGATTGGCATTCTGTATGCAGAAGAGGGACTGGACTACCGTCTTGTGCATGTGGTCACCGTTAGAGTGGGTGTTAGCAGGGGACTGGTAACGGAAGGACCGTTTAGAATGACTAACCTCCACCCAACTACCACTCTCCTTGTTCCTTGTCCGGATTGGGTAGGTGTAAGGAGTAGTTTGGATCCTAAGTTGCCCAAGGGGTCTGCCGAGTTCTCCGCATCAGGTGCTAACCCCCCGGATGAGCACCAGAAATGGGATGGCAGGGGCTGGAATCCGGTAAGAAGGGCACGAGGGGGGGTTCTTGCTATATCCAGTGAAGAATTGGTATTCATCAATGGTGTGAAGGAAGAGACTCACCTGGTCGTGGTTTCGATGCCGGGCCTGCCTGCCTGTTGGGAGTGGGCAAGCTTCAGGACGCTGCTGATCGGCGACACACTAGGGTGTCTTCATCTGGTGCAAATGGGGCGAGAGGAGGGAGGGTGGACTGTCCGGCGCTTCCCTTCCTCATTGTCACCATCTTCCTCCCCTGAGGTTTTGTCAGTTCTTCCTTTGACTCGTTATCGACTAACGAAGTCCTCAACTCCTGCTTTTACTCTTGTTCCTCCTCCTCCTGCTGCCCATCCTCCTCCTCCTCCTCCTCCTCCTCCTCCTCCTCCTCCTCCCTCCTCAGGAAGAACGACATCGAGTCATCAGATGTCCCATACGCCAACGTCATCGTATGCAGTCCGTCGATCTTGCAGGTCTGCTCCCTGCCGAGACTGCGGCAAAGAGAGAGGGAGTGAGCGTATGGTGTTGTTCACCGGTAGCTATTTTGGAAGCTCGCAAGCTCTGTGTTTTCTCGCTCCATGCAACCACTGCGGAGACATGATCTGCTCTTTAGATGATCACCATAGCCTGAGCTGTAGTGGCGATGGTGTGGAGATGGAGGGGAAGGAGAGTCCAGCTCGCACTTTGAGGGAGAGGGTAACCCCGACCGGCCTTCGAAATCGGACAGGAGTCGTGAATGTGAATAGGGATCTCCTACCTCGTTGTCCCAGCAGGGAAAGATCCCTAGGAAGCAGAGGGAATCGAGTGAAGCAGGGGAGAGGAGGGGAGGAAGGTGGGGCGGTACCTAGTATCGAGAGGGAAGACGAGTCTCTGCTACTCGTGCAAGAGCTCGTTGAAGGAACAGGAGGGGTCAGATGCGTAGCAACCCTTGATTTGATCGATGACGGGGTGGATGGAGGGGGTTTAGGAAGCGAACGCCAGCTGCTAGTTGGCTGTGGTAGAGCCCCTCGGGGGATGGTGAAGAGGGGTTTCCTGGGGGTTGCGCTCCGCGAGCGGCGGTGTCATTACATAGCTCACTGCGGCCAGAAGTGGATGACGTCAAGGATAAATGGTTTTCCGTCTCTGGTGAAGTCCTTCAAAGAGAACCAGGAGAGTGAGTTCCACACGCACGTGCTTCTGTCCTTTGGGACATATCCCGGCAGTCCCGGGTTTCCCCCCTTTCTTCCGGGTAACGGTCGTACTCAGGTTCTGGTTATCAGAGGGCGAACAGTAGAGGATACGAAGATAAATGGCTTTGAGGAATGTTGTAGCACACTTGCTGTGGGGCCTGCACCTGGTGGGTGGATCATACAAGTCACGGACACTTGTATTCGAGTCGTTTCTCAAGCTCGCGGCCTGGTCGGTGTATGGTCTCCTCCGTCCTCATCATCGTCGCTATCCCGACCTGCACCTGCTTCAACCTCGGCCAAGAATTCCTTCAACTCCTCGTCCGCGGGCCCGTCGTCATCGCCATCGCTATCCAGACCAACTTCATCCTCTAAGACGACTTCTTCCCTCTTTCCCCACACTTCTTCCTCCAAAACTGCTTCTTCTTCTTCTTCTTCTTCTTCTTCTTCTTCGTCGACGTTGTCATCGTCATCGCAGTCAAAGCCGCATTCAGGTGGTGATAGACTGAGAGGGAGCAATGAGACTCAGAAGGGGAGCAGCTTAAGAGCAGAGAGAGAGAGCGGAGTGCTGAGAGGAGGGAAAGTGGAAAGAGTAATAACAAGTGAGGACAAGGCAGGATCAGTTCTGTTTGCTGATGTGGATGGGTGCAGAGTAGTGGTGGCCACGACATGTGTCATATTTGCTGTGGGGATAGACGAGCTCACAGGGACCGCAACTGCTCTGGGAACGACAGAGCGTTCCCAGCAAGTGTCCGCCATAGCGCTGGGGCAAGTTATGGTAGAGCCGCATGCATCTGCCTGTGCAGGTGGCAGATCACCTGGTGTCATTCGCACGACTAGTAATAGCGAGGACCTCAAGGACCTTGACAAAAGGAATGTAGAGGAGGCAGCGAACCGTTCTGACGTGAGTTGTAATCGTAATGGGGCAGTGATGATGGTTCTCCTCGGGCAGTGGACAACAAATACCGCTCACGTTTTGACGTGGCCAAGTCTGGTGGAGACGGTTGCAGTCTCTCTAGGATCTGCTCCTGCAAGGTCTCTGCTTTCTGCTCGGCTGGGAGGATCCGACTATCTGTTTGTGGGTACCGGTGATGGGCGAGTGGTGTACTATGAGCTGCACTGCCACAACTTTTCTGAGAGCAATCGAGCAGGAAGAGACTCTGAGCACGATGTTAGCAAAGCCACCTCACACTGTGAAGTTCAGGCATGTAATCCAAAGTCAAGAAGATGGGCAGCAGCACAGGGGAGCAATTCGAATCGGGCACAGGGTTGGGCGGTGGAGGTGGTCGAGGTTGCTGTATCAGGAGGAGGAGATAGAGGAGGAGGAGGAGAAGGAGGAGGAGGAGAAGGAGGAAGAGGAGGAGGAGAAGGACATTATGCAGAGAAACCGTGGGAGGAGAGGGAGAAAGCGTGTGGAACACAGGCTGAAGCTTGTGGTCGATACGATCTAACGGCTGGAAGTATTGGATCGACAGGAAAGAAAGAAATTCTCAGCAAATTTTGTTTGCGAGAAGGTCGAGCTATGAGGGTCGGAGATGGCGAGGTGCGTCTTGAGAAAGGAAGAAGAAGAGGAAGAAGAGGAAGAAGAGGAAGAAGAGTAAGAAGAGAGAATAGTGCACGAACTCATGGGCTACTTGCGGGCATCTTGCCTTCTGGGGTGATGACGTCAACACAGTTGATAGGGAACGATCTTGAAGAGGAAGGGAACGAACAGGGATATGGGGAGAGTCGTCATCTACTGGCAGAAGAGGAGTGGATTTATGCACATGACGGTCAGTTTGCAGATGTCCTCTTTTTGCAAGGCCCAGGGCACTCGGGACCGAGGGCCTTTCGCGTTCAGAGGACCGACGTCGGAACAGGGCCCAGGGCAGTGTCGTGGACCAACTCCCCAGAGTTGCACGACTCTTTGTTATGTGTCTCTCTTGATGGGCACATCAGCTTCGCCCAGGTTGATCTCTCTGTACGCCTCAGATGGCAGAAGACACTAGTGAAAGGCACTCCTTGCCAAATGGCTTATCATACAGATACCGGAGTCATAGCCATAACCACCGTGGATGAGGAGGGTGGAGCTTGTCTTCAACTCCTTGATATTCGGTCGTTGAATGAAGTAGCCGTGCTGCGCCTTGGTGCCCAGCATCACCCCTGTGCTTTGCAGGTTCTGCCCCTGGCCTGTTCCTCGAAACTTCGTCAGCCTGACAGAGGGCAGAGTCGAAGCAGGCAGTTTTTGGTGATGTCATCACACATTGTCACCGATTCTTCCCAAGCTTCCCTTCACAAAACCGCAACGAATGTGCTTTCATTCTTCGAAATCGTCAGAAGAGCCCAGATGGTATCAAACAGAGAGGATGGAGAGCAAGGGGTCTGCTTGCTCCTACATGGGACATATCCACTGGACGGCTTGTGCTGCAGCCTGGACCAGATTCTGTTCCCAGGTCCTGCACCAGGTCCAAATCATCACCAGGGGTTCCCGTGTGGGGGTGGATCTGGAACAAAGTCGATCCGAGGGCCATTGGATGGTGTGGGTATTCAGCAGGTGGATGGAGCTCACGTTCCCTGCTGCGACCTCGACCTACATGTTCATCACCAGCAAGAACTACTTCCCGTACAAAACACCGAGGAGACAAGACACCCACCATTGTTGTCGTCAAGCCCTGTGACCAGTGGAGTTGGCACCTCCCAGCCTCTCCTCACTGATCCGAACGAGACAGGGGAAGAAGAGGAGGAGGGGGAGGGGGAGGAGGAGGGAGGGGCAGTTATGTGTGTGAGAGAGAGCCACCAGCAGCGACTCAGGCGTTTCCGAGCAATGCTTGGCCAGGGATGGGCGTTGGAAAATGACATTGTCTTTGCCACCAATCAGGGCTGGCAGGCATTTATGGAAGAAGCTCCTGGGTTGTCGTCGGAGTTCAGACTGCTGGTTGCTGGTTGCTGTGGGTCTATTTGTGTTTTCTGGGTGTTTATCGACGATACAGGCGATGCAAGACTGGCTATGGAGGTTTCCTCTGCTATAGATGCTGCCATGGAGCCATATTTCGCTGCCTTAATGGCGGATGAGGATTCCCTGCCTGCCCAACGGTTGCTCTTGTCAAGTCGCAGAGCCAACCTCTGTTGCCATGACCAGAGATCAGAAGACGAAGCAAAGTTTGAGAAGGACGATACAGATGACGAGCAAGAGGAAGAAGAGGATGACGATGAGGGTGATGAGGACGACGAGGAAGATGGTGACGATGCGTATAATGAGGAGAGGGAGAAGGAATTGTTTGACGGGAACAGGTATCGGGGAGGTAGATGCGGATCCAGAGAGCAGAAGATGCAGAGCCGCCACTTGGGCCCAAGAACGTTGTCTTGCACTGGTCCCGGTACTCATAAATGGGGCAATCTGGTTACTGATGGGAATACAGATGTACAGGGCCAAGGAGAAACAGTGCCATCCTATGAAGTAGGACAGCAAGAGGAAAGGAGGAGGAGGAGGAGGAGGAGGAGGAGGATCCAAAGCTCTGATAGTAGTGAGGGCAGGGAAAGTCCCTCAGGTTTCCGGGATGGATGGGTAGGTCCACCCACGGTGACAGTGATGTCAAGGGAGGCTGGCTCAGCAGCCTCCACTTCAGCCCCGCTCCACAGCAATGGGGTAGGAGAGGAGGAAAGCTTTAGCAGCAGGCTAGAGCAGCAGCCAGGCCATGGATTGAGAACAGGGTCCACATTGCAAAAGGGACGAGTTCTAGTTCAGAAGGTGGCTTGTGCTCCAACCCCGAACCTTGGCCTCGTGGTGGACATATCCTCTTTCGGGAGCACCATAGCTGCAGTGGAGATTCTCCAGTCGTTTGCAGTCTATGAGCTGGACATTCAGCAGCACACCAATTGCCGACAAATGACGACAGAAGCAGATTTATATCCTGTCTTGCAGGACAATCACTGGGCCATCGCACCTCATTGCATACTCTCTCTCTCCCCATCGCTTTTCCTGGCAGCTGCACACCTTTCCGGTGTGCTGCTGCTTGAACGGAATAAAACCCGGGAGTTATGCAGGCACCCGCAAAGGGCCACGGCAGAGGGAGGGGAAACCGACGAGCTTGGGCGGGTCAGGGCAGTTGTCAATGAGGTAAGACGAGCGAGTCATCCAGGTGGACTTCAACGACATGAAGCGAGCGAACACAGCAGCAGCAGCAGCAGCACCTTGGGTAGCGAAAGATCAAGGCTCCCAGCGGCAGCGGATGTGAACCGCCAGTCTGTGGAACAGGAACTGTTGGGACAACCTGGAACTGTGCCTGGACCAGGGAACCAAAGAGGAACACAAGCGGGACCAGCAGGCACGAGCACAACACCCGTAGCAGGACCACAGGCAACATCTTCAGCCGCGGTGAATGGACAGTTCGTGGAACACGGCGTTGTCAGTTTTGAAAGAACCAGACCTAGACCTGGGAGTGAAACAGGGACAGAAAGAGGACCAGCAGCCGTCGTACAAGGGCGAAATGCTGTACCCACGAGATCAGCTGTCCGTATGGCCACTGTGGTCGATGAGAGATTGCCGGAACGGGCAGCAGCAGGGGAGTATGCGGAACCAGAGCCGGGACCAAGAGATCGGGAGGGAACACAGAGAAGGCACGGACCAGGTGGAGGAATATTTGGCAGAGTATCGACAGAATCTGGGTCTGGCACACAAAAGGACTCTCTTCAAGGTCTCTCTCTGTTGGCTGCATGTCAGTTGCCCGCAGCCATTGCAGGTTTTACGAAAGGTCCCCTGGGCATACATCCGAGGAGGATTGCAGCGCCAGAGCATCAAATTGAATGTGCTGTAAAGGGCCATGTTCGTGACAGCCATATTGAGAGCCCAGTAGGCTCAGCCGAGTCAAATCTGAGGGAGATGGTGTCATCTACCCCCAAGTACCAGAAGCCACAGAATTGTGGCGAACCGCAGCCGCAGAATGGGGGCAGTGCACTATTGCGAGGACCAGCGACAGGCTCTGTCATAAACTCCCTTGCTTCTGGTTACATCCAAACGACAAACACTGACAACAAGAATCTTCCAGAGAAATCCAGTCGCCAGCGGCGTTGCTCCTCCTCCGAGTTTTTGTGCTATGAACCAGAAAATTGTGTAGTATTTGTGACCTGCACCGGTCAGGTTGGGTATTTAACGTTTGATTCCGGATCCTCCACATCCATTGCCCCTCCTTCTGTGTAGTTTGGGGGTGCTGTGAGCCGGAAAATTGTGTAGTATTTATCACCTGCAGGGGTCAGGTGGGGTATACTCTGTACAGTGTACACTGCCTGCAGAAGCTGGCAGCAGCTGGCAGGTCAAGGTTGCAAGGAAAAGCTTGTGCTTGACAGCAAAGCATGGAAATGAGGGATAGGAGGAGGATAAATGGGCGATCCTGGGTAAGGACAGAGGAGAAAGAAGTTGAAACAGGAGCGGACTGATTCGCAAAGCAACACTGTGGGCCTGTGACTCCCGCCGTACAACGTACGAGGGAGCACTCATACGGCCGTACGAACGGTTGTTCATAGGGTCGTACGGCCGTTCG